TGACTCAACCACCCAAGAGGATTCAACCCCCATATCCCTGACTCACTCACCCAAGGGAATTCAACCCCCTTCTCCCTGACTCAACCACCCAAGGGGATTCAACCCCCTTCTCCCTGACTCAACCACCCAAGGGCATTCAACCCCCTTCTCCCTGACTCAACCACCCAAGGGGATTCAACCCCCTTCTCCCTGACTCAACCACCCAAGGGGATTCAACCCCCTTCTCCCTGACTCAACCACCCAAGGGGATTCAACCCCCTTCTCCCTGACTCAACCACCCAAGAGGATTCAACCCCCTTCTCCCTGACTCAACCACCCAAGGGGATTCAACCCCCTTCTCCCTGACTCAACCACCCAAGGGGATTCCACCCCCTTCTCCCTGACTCAACCACCCAAGGGGATTCAACCGCCTTCTCCCTGACTCAACCACCCAAGGGGATTCAACCCCCTTCTCCCTGACTCAACCACCCAAGAGGATTCAACCCCCTTCTCCCTGACTCAACCACCCAAGGGGATTCAACCCCCTTCTCCCTGACTCAACCACCCAAGGGGATTCCACCCCCTTCTCCCTGACTCAACCACCCAAGGGGATTCAACCGCCTTCTCCCTGACTCAACCACCCAAGGGGATTCAACCCCCTTCTCCCTGACTCAACCACCCAAGGGGATTCAACCCCCTTCTCCCTGACTCAACCACCCACGGGGATTCAACCCCCTTCTCCCTGACTCAACCACCCAAGGGGATTCAACCCCCTTCTCCCTGACTCAACCACCCAAGAGGATTCAACCCCCTTCTCCCTGACTCAACCACCCAAGGGGATTCAACCCCCTTCTCCCTGACTCAACCACCCAAGGGGATTCAACCCCCTTCTCCCTGACTCAACCACCCAAGGGGATTCAAACCCCTTCTCCCTGACTCAACCACCCAAGGGGATTCAACCCCCTTCTCCCTGACTCAACCACCCAAGGGGATTCAACCCCCTTCTCCCTGACTCAACCACCCAAGGGGATTCAACCCCCTTCTCCCTGACTCAACCACCCAAGGGGATTCAACCCCCTTCTCCCTGACTCAACCACCCAAGGGGATTCAACCCCCTTCTCCCTGACTCAACCACCCAAGGGGATTCAACCCCCTTCTCCCGGACTCACCCACCCAAGGGGATTCAGCCCCCTTCTCCCTGACTCAACCACCCAAAGGGGATTCAACCCCCTTCTCCCGGACTCACCCACCCAAGGGGATTCAGCCCCCTTCTCCCCGACTCAACCACCCAAGGGGATTCAACCCCCTTCTCCCTCACTCACCCACCCAAGGGGATTCAACCCCCTTCTCCCCGACTCACCCACCCAGCCCATCCCCACCATTACCTGCCAGCAGCAGTAGGAGCAGCAGAGAGCCCATTTGCTTAAGGAGACAGCAACCGCAGAGGCTGAGCCTTGTGGAGCGAGGTGTGGTAGTGGAAATTTTCTTCCAGCCCAAGACTCAAATTACACCCCTGACGTAGCTAGAGCTGACGCGAACTAGAGTCGCCGGCCGGTCGACTCTGACGGTGCCCATTAAGCCTTAACGTCAGATCGGTTACTTGAGCACCGAGTGCCGTGCCGCACAGATTCCACCCACCACGCCCCGTCCCTCAAGCCACAATCCCAAAGGATGCTGCCCCTAAGGCAGTGAACTCCCCGCTTGCTCCCATGCCCCCCACCCACCCACCCCACACCTCACCCCCATGCCTCCTTACCTGTACCTACCACAGCCGTGCAGAGCGCCATGATGCTGAGGCTGCTGGGAAGTGAGAAGGGGGGATTAGGGCAGGACTCCAGTGTGGTCCAGGCAGGGTGCTGCTGGGAGGGAAGGGAAAAGGGAGAGAGGAGGAGGTGAGTGAGAGGGTGGACTCCACTCTCCCGCACTTGCTCCAGTGCTCCCACCCTCAGGCTGCAGGAGAGAAAAAGGGGGGAAAAGAGAAGGGGGGGGGGTCAGATCACCACACCTCACCTGGTACCATACCATACCTGATACCACACCTCACCTGTTACCACACCTCGCCCACACCACGCCTAGCCTAGCCTACTCTCCAGCCCACCACCCCCCACTGCTGCTGCGCTGCTGCTTCCTCTGCTGCAACTGCTGCTGCTGGTCAGCTACTCTGCTTCCTCTGCTGCACTCTTCTCTTGATGCCAAGTGACCTGGTGGCGGGCAGAAAAGGGTCAGGGGAGGGGCGGACAGGAGAGAAGGGCAGGCGAAAGTGAGGTCACAGGAACAGTAACACTCAAGTCAACAGAACAACATAAGAGCTGACAACGACAAGAATGGAAAAATGAAGAGAGAGATGTGGCAGCAAATGCAGTCAATGGGGAGAGAGATGAGGCCAAGGAGGGAGGTAACGCACCTAGAGAGGCCAGCCCACCCCCATACTCTCCCTCGTGGCACCAAATTCAAGCTGCTGCAGTGCTGCCTCCCTCCTGTCCCCACAAGCACCTGCACGGCCACAGGGGAGGGGCGTGAGGGAGCGTCGGTGTTGACCCCACACCCCTCCCCGCCACCTGCAATGCGCACACACAGAGCTAGTCAGAGCACAGTGGTGGGAGCAAGTCGAATGAAAGCCGAACATTCAAGATCAAGACAAGAAAAGGAGGGGCCACTGTTGGAGGCACATCCACAAGCTACAGACCCAAGAGCACCTGAAAAGGAACCTGAGAGGCATACCTGCACCTGAGAGGGTTACCTGCACCTGAGGGGGTTACCTGAAGTGTGGGGGTCTGTAGCATGTGAACCGTGCTCGACTAGTGGCATTGTTTCAAAGCGAAGGGTGCACAAGCAGCAAACGAAATGACAGCAGAGAAATACAGGAGATGACGTGCAAGGAGGGCGAGGGCATGGAGGAGGGTTACTTAGCTTCTTATGGCGTGAGGGCGAGCTCAAGGCAGCTGCAGCACCACCAGCTGCCTCCCTCCACTGCAGCCCTCCTCCCAGCCTTCCCGTGTGCGCTCATGCACGGCCACAGGGGAGGGGCGTGAGGGAGCGTCGGTGTTGACCCCACACCCCTCCCCACCACCTGCAATGCGCACACACAGAGCTAGTCAGAGCACAGTGGTGGGAGCAAGTCGAATGAAAGCCGAACATTCAAGATCAAGACAAGAAAAGGAGGGGCCATTGTTGGAGGCACGGCCACAAGCTACAGACCCAAGAGCACCTGAAAAGGAACCTGAGAGGCATACCTGCACCTGAGAGGGTTACCTGCACCTGAGGGGGTTACCTGAAGAGTGGGGGTCTGTAGCATGTGAACCGCGCTCGACCAGTGGCAAAGTTTCAAGAAGATGGTGCAAAGCAGATGAAACAAACGAAACGATGCTGCAGGCAAGGGTGCAGGCATGGGGGAACGGGTATTTAACTGATTGTGTGGTGCAGGCGGAGGGGGTGCTGCCAGGTCGATCTGCTACCCTGCTTCGTCTGCTGCACGCTTCCCTTGATGCCAAGTGACCTGGTGGCGGGCAGAAAAGGGTCAGGGGAGGGGCGGACAGGAGAGAAGGGCAGGAGGAAGTGAGGTGACGTGAACAAAAACAATCAAGTCAACAGAACAACATAAGAGCTGACAAAGACAAGAATGGAAAAATGCAGAGAGAGATGTGGCAGGAAATGCAGTCAATGGGGAGAGAGATGAGGCCAAGGAGGGAGGTAACGCACCTTGAGAGGCCAGCCCACCCCCATACTCTACCTCGTGGCACCAACTCCAAGCTGCTGCAGTGCTGCCTCCCTCCCGTCCCCACAGGTACCTGCACGACCACAGGGGAGGAGCATGGGGAAGCGTCGGTGTTGACCCCAACGCCCCTCCCCTCCACCTGCAATGCACAGGCACAGGGCTAGTCAGTGGGCAGTCATGGGAACAAACTGAATAGGCAGCTGTAATGGTAAGAGAGGGAAGAGGCCACTGGTTGAGGCACAGCAACAAGCCACAGACCTGAAGGGTACCCGCACCTGAGAAGGTACCTGCACCTGAGAAGATACCTGCACCTGAGAAGATACCTGCACCTGAGGAACCGGTTACCTGCACCTGAGGGGTTACCTGCACCTGAGGAAGGTATGTGGCTTGTAACCGGGGCCCAGGCAGTGGCATTGCTTCAAGAAAAAGGGCTGAAAGCACGTGCATTGAAGTGCATGATGTGAGAGGGGGCAGGGAGGAGGGAACACTTAGCTCAGGCCGTGAGAGCGAGGACAAGGCAGCCACTTCTGCTGCTGCCACTGCTGCTGCCGCTCTGCTGCTCTGCTGCCCCTGCCTCTGCCTCTGATGCTGAATAACCTGGTAGCGGGCAGAGAAAGGGGGTGAAACAGGAGAGGAGGAGCAGGAGGAACTACTGAGTTGGCATGAACAGAAACACACACAGAAACGCTTAAGCGGACAAATATGAGAATGATGTGGAGACAGAACTGCAGCAGCGAATGAAGTGGAGGGTAAGAGGGGGGTGAGGCCAAGGAGGGAGGTGACGTACCTACTCTCCCTCGTGGTGCCGATTCCAGTGTGCTGCCGCCCTCCCATCCCCGTGGGTACCTGCACGGCCACAGGGGAGGGGCGTGGGGAAGCGTCGGTGTTGACCCACACGCCCCTCCCCTCCACCTGCAAGGCACACAAGCAGAACTGGTCAGTGGGCAGGCAGGGAAGGAAGGGAGAGATCGCCACAGCAACCAGAGCAACAACAACTGCAAGGGGAGAGGTGGAGGGGCCACTGGTGGACGCACAACCACATGCCACACACCCCCAGGGGCACCTGAGCGGGTTAACATGCAGTCAAGGTGAACCTGAGGGGGCTGTGGGGATTTAGGGAACCTGAACCTGAACCTGAACCAGAACCTGAACCTGAGGGGTTACTTAGAGTGAGGGGAGGTGAGTGGTGGTGAGTTGGGCCCCCATCAGTGGCACGAGTTTCAGGGAGAAGGCAATGAGAGGAATGTAAAGCAGGGCCATGCGGACTCGAAAGAACAAGAGGCAAGGCTCACGGGAGAGGAAAGACTTAACTGGAAGCTTGAAAGCACTGCTTGTTGCTGCCCCTTCTCCCCTGCTGCTCTCCAGCCCCCCACCCACACTGCTGCTGCTGCTGCTGCTGCTGCTGCTTCTGCTGCTGCTGCTGCTGCTGCTGCTGCTGCAGCACTGCTGTTGATGCCAAGTGACCTGGTGGCAGGCAGAAAAGGGAGAGAAGGGCAGGAGGATCTAGTGAGGTGACTTGAACAGAAACACTCTAGTCAACAGAAAAGCAGAAAATTCTGACAAAGACAAGAATGGCAAGATGCAGAGAGAACTGAAGCAGCAAATGCAGTCAATGGGGAGAGAGATGAGGCCAAGGAGGGAGGTAACGCACCTTGAGAGGCCAGCCCACCCCCATACTCTCCCTCGTGGTACCAACTCCAAGCTGCTGCAGTGCTGCCTCTCCCCCGTCCCCACAGGTACCTGCACGGCCACAGGGGGGGGGCGTGAGGGAGCGTCGGTGTTGACCCCACACCCCTCCCCGCCACCTGCAATGCGCACACACAGAGCTAGTCAGAGCACAGTGGTGGGAGCAAGTCGAATGAAAGCCGAACATTCAAGATCAAGACAAGAAAGGGAGGGGCCACTGTTGGAGGCACAGCCACAAGCTACAGACCCAAGAGCACCTGAAAAGGAACCTGAGAGGCATACCTGCACCTGAGAGGGTTACCTGCACCTGAGGGGGTTACCTGAAGTGTGGGGGTCTGTAGCATGTGAACCGAGCTCGACCAGTGGCATTGTTTCAAAGCGAAGGGTGCACAAGCAGCAAACGAAACGACAGCAGAGCAATACAGGAGATGACGTGCAAGGAGGGCGAGGGCATGGAGGAGGGTTACTTAGCTTCTTATGGCGTGAGGGCGAGCTCAAGGCAGCTGCAGCACCACCAGCTGCCTCCCTCCACTGCAGCCCTCCTCCCAGCCTTCCCGTGTGCGCCCCTGCACAGCCACAGGGGAGGGGCGCGAGGGAGCGTCGGTGTTGACCCCACACCCCTCCCCACCACCTGCAATGCGCACACACAGAGCTAGTCAGAGCACAGTGGTGTGATCAAGTTGAATGGAAAACCGTGACTTCAAATTTAGCGCAAGAAAATGGAAGGAGAGCCACTGTTGGAGGCACGGCCACAAGCTACAGACCCAAGCGCACCTGAAAAGGAACCTGAGAAGCGTACCTGCACCTGAGAGGGTTACCTGCACCTGAGGGGGTTACCTGAAGTGTGGCGGTCTGTAGCATGTGAACCGCGCTCGAGCAGTGGCAAAGTTTCAAGAAAACGGTGCAAAGCAGATGAAACAAACGAAACGATGCTGCAGGCAAGGGTGCGGGCATGGGGGAACGGGTACTTAGCTGATTTGTGCAGGTGGAGGGGGTGCTTCAATGGAGAATGGGCAGGGCGAGCGGGGCTTGAAGGGACGGACCTGCGAGGCAGAGAAGGGAGAGAGAGATAAAGAGATAGTAAGAGGCAGGTGGGAGGGAGCGACTCTTTTAAAAGAGAAGACTCTGGCAGCAGTGTGAGTGCAAAAACGACGGTGCATGTGATGCCAACCACAGCCCCACAAGAGCCACTACCAACCTGAACCTGAACTTGCACCTGAACCTGCACCTGCACCTGAACCTGAACCTGAGGGGGAGGGGGCTCATGTGGAGTGTGGTGGCAGGCGATACTGCAACCTCGACCGTTGATGAGGCCGGCGCTGCTGCCCTGCTGCCCGCGCCCCTGCTGCAAGCCTTGGCGCCCCCCTCGCTTGCTGCTCGCCTGCTGCCCTCCCCTTGGCTTGTGCAGGCCTGGCAGGGAAGGGAGGCCAGGGGAGAAAGGAATGAGAGGAAAGGGGAGAAAGGAGTGAGAGGAAAGGCAGACGAAGGTAAAAGGGGTTGCAATGGAGAGAAGTGTACAAGTGCAACAGCAGAAACGACGGTGCATGTGATGCCAACCACAACCCCACAAGAGCCACTACCAACCTGCACCTGCACCTGCACCTGAACCTGAACCTGAGGGGGAGGGGGCTCATGTGGAGTGTGGTGGCGGGCGATACTGCAACCTCGACCGTTGATGAGGCCGGCGCTGCTGCCCTGCTGCCCGCGCTCCTGCTGCCCGCCTTGGCGCCCCCCTCGCTTGCTGCTCGTCTGCTGCCCTCCCCTTGGCTTGTGCAGGCCTGGCAGGGAAGGGAGGCCAGGGGAGAAAGGAATGGGAGGAAAGGGGAGAAAGGAGTGAGAGGAAAGGCAGACGAAGGTAAAAGGGGTTGCAATGGAGAGAAGTGTACAAGTGCAACAGCAGAAACGACGGTGCATGTGATGCCAACCACAACCCCACAAGAGCCACTACCAACCTGCACCTGCACCTGAACCTGAACCTGCACCTGAACCTGAACCTGAGGGGGAGGGGGCTCATGTGGAGTGTGGTGGCGGGCGATACTGCAACCTCGACCGTTGATGAGGCCGGCGCTGCTGCCCTGTTGCCCGCGCTCCTGCTGCCCGCCTTGGCGCCCCCCTCGCTTGCTGCTCGTCTGCTGCCCTCCCCTTGGCTTGTGCAGGCCTGGCAGGGAAGGGAGGCCAGGGGAGAAAGGAATGGGAGGAAAGGGGAGAAAGGAGTGAGAGGAAAGGCAGACGAAGGTATAAGGGGTTGCAATGGAGAGAAGTATACAAGTGCAACAGCAGAAACGACGGTGCATGTGATGCCAACCACAACCCCACAAGAGCCACTACCAACCTGCACCTGAACCTGCACCTGAACCTGCACCTGAGGGGGAGCGGGCTCATGTGGAGTGTGGTGGCGGGGCGATACTGCAACCTCGACCGTTGATGAGGCTCTGCCCTCCGTCCAGCTGCCCGCCTTGGCCCTCCCGTTGCTTGCTGCTCGCCTGCTGCTCTCCCCTTGGCTTGAGCCGGCCTGGCAGGGAGGGCAGAGGGGGCAGAGCAGAGAGGTGGAAGGCAGCAAGAATGAGGTTCAGGGGCATGGTATGACGGGGGAATGGAGAACTTAGAGCGAGGAGGCATGTGAAAACAAAAAACTGTGAGGGGAGGGGCCACTGGCGGAGGCGCAAGCACAAGCCACAGACCCCCAAGGGGACCTGAGGGGGCTGTAAGGCTCTAGGGGGCTGAACCTGAACCTGGACCTGAGGGGGTTACCTGAAAATAAAGAGGAGGGTCTGTGGCTTGTGAGTGGGGCCCCAACCAGTGGCGAGTTTGGAATGCACACAGACACGATGGCAGAACGTAGTGCATACAAGTGCGACTCTTTGAGGCACTAAGCAAAACGAGAGGCGAGGCACTTAGCTTGAAGGTCGAACCAGTGGTGCAGGCGGAGGGGGTGCGTCGGTAGAGAGTGGATGCCTCGTGCATGCTGCTTCGTTCTCCTCATGGACTCCACTCCTCTGCTTCGTCTCAGCATGGTTCATGTGCTGCCGGACCTGACAAGTCAACAGCATAAACATCTGTGAGAATGGAATACTGAGAGCGTTCTTGCAGTGCGAACTCAAGGAAAACGATTTCGGGGATCAAGTGCGAACTGACGAGAATCGATTTCTACCTTGGGAATGCGAGCTCGCAGTGGCTGGTGTGCTTGAAGCCGTTGCGAATGGAGCGGACGATGCGAAGCGAGTTGGTCAGCTGTGGCGGACGACGGCGTTGGACAGCTGTAAACGAAATAAAACGAACGCAGCATCAAACACTTGAACGAAACTCGCAGCAGAAGGTAGCGAAAAAGGATGAAATCACAAGGAGGATTTACCAATGGCGAGTACGTTGTCGAAATTGGTGAAGTTGCTTTGGCGGACATTGGTAACGGACTGACAATGTTCCATCGCCTGCAAAAGAGGAAAGCGCAAGTCAGACACGTGCAAGAACCGATGACGAACGGACTAAACGATGACAGAAAACAAGCTGAAATGCAAGGAGATATTACCAGCGTCGAGTACGTTGTGGTGATAGCAGCTCCATGAAACGTGCAGCGAGGCTGAAAACTGATCCTCCTGACGCTTGAGAGGCTTATCGCTGATCGCTTATGTGAATGAGCTGATAAAGTTGCCTAGTCTCCGTGTAAATGCGCTACATACACGAGAAAACTGACTTGGAGAAGAAGGAGCGGAATGTGGAACGGATGTGCGAATGTCTAAACTGACGATGTCAAAATGTCGCTCTAGGAAACCCCTGGTCGAAATGTCTCTACGGAAGTTCTCTGGTTGGAATGTGGTTGGTCGAAAATGCCAGGCGTGGTTGGAATGCCACAGCAACCCCAAGTGAGTGAGGGGGACTGGGGGTGTGGGGCTCAACTCTCGCGGTTCACTGGACGGCTACCGAAAGAAGACAAAAAGGAGCGGTCCTCCTTGTTTTAGGCCGCGCGGCTCCGATAGGGTTCGGACATTGGGGTTTGGTCTCTGGAGGGATGGCCGTTGGCAGCACAAAAAGCGACCGGGTGAGCAAGAATCGTCGGATCGTTTTCTTACAAAACGGATCTAGGGATCAGATCGATCGAGTGGACGTTGTCGACTGGCGGGAAAAGCAAACCGTCAACTCGAAACGAAACACAGCGACTCGAACCGGTTTCGCGGTAGATTCTCAGCCAATGGAATGCGAGCAAGCCCAGCCGTTAGAAGGAAGTGGGGTGCGATGGAGTTGGGGTTGGATGGGCTTCCCTGCTCTCTCTGCCTGTCGGGGAGAACCTCGCAGGTTGGAGCCAGCGTGGGGTAAGGAAGGGCTGTTGAAGATTTCGCGAAGTGGTTAAACGAACTCTCTCGTTTCAATCACGAAATCTGCGAAACCGCTTGTATTTGTAACGGAGCATCTTGCACTTTCGGACTGGATGTGGGCCCAGACAGATTCAGATCGAACGTGGCACGTCGGACCTGGCTATCCTGGAGCTTTGTTTCAGCATCTCAGATAATCAGGCGGCGCTTTTCCAATCACAGCGACCCTCGTGACAGATCCTACGTACCGCATTCCCCTGTCAGGTTTGATGCGACGATATCCGCTGCACCGCATTCGCCAGCCTCGTAAGAGCTGATCAGCTATAACGCAAGCAGCACTTTGGTGGGTTGAAGTCACACGAGGTTGTACATCCATGTATAAATCGCTAAGAAGCCAAACATATGTATCAAACATTTTTTTATGGTAAAGTGTTCATGAAATGACTATGTTACGCTTTCGATATTCTTTGCTATTGCCATCTATCAGGTTCCAACACTTTGCGCCTCGAGTTTGCCGCCAACAGTTGTCAGAGGTACCGCCTCTGACACCAAGCCTCTCTCCCCACCCCACCAGCAGCAAACACTTTCTTCGCCTGTTTCAAACACCTCTCCTTTCCAGCCAGCACAACTCTCACAGCTTTCCATTGTCGGTCCAGCGACTCTTCATCTCCTCTTTAGCTATTAGAGATTAATGCGCCTGGAGCGACGGTAGCATTTAGAAATATCGGTAGGAAATGCTTCCTCTCGCCTTATATGGACCAATCGACCCGTCTATTACGTTCCACCTTTAATATTAGCTAGCGTCGCGACTCGTCTGTTCTGGTTCGATCTTGAGCCACGATACAGGTGCAGAATGCGTTCTACTGGAGGATTGATTGCGGTCATACTGTGTGGCTCCAAAATGCAGGAGGGAATAGCGATGCAGGATAGATTTTCGACCTTACCGACCTTGATAACTGGTTCAAAGGCGCAAGATAGATTAGCGACCTTGATAACTGGTTCAAAGTTGCAGATGGAGTAGCGACTTCCAGAATGCATTATTGTGGCGTACGATGAATTTGGAACTTTCAATATGTGACTACCTGACGATTTGCCTGCCGTCGGCTTCGCAGTCGTTGGCCGAGTTTGTCTGTCTTTCGCCGAGTGTCGCTGAAGTGAGCAAAGCTCGTTGTCGCGGGGTTTCTCTGCTTGCTCCCGTCGTTCGCCAAGTTTCTCTGTCACTTGCCGGATTCTGCTGGCACTTGCCGACTTTCGGTGCCGTTCACCAAGTATCGCTGCCTTTCGCACAGCTGCTACCGTTCGCCGAGTATTGCTGCCATTCGCACAGCTGCTGCCATTCGCTGAGTATCGCTGCCTTTCGCACAGCTACTGCCGTTCGGCGATTATCGCTTTCTTTCGCACAGCTACTGCTGTTCGCGGAGTGTCGCTGTCTTCTGCCATTCGCCGACGCGGTTGCTTGCGGAGTTTCTCTACCGTTTACTACGTTTTATGGTTTCGCCGCCGTTCGCGAGGTTTGCTTCGAAACATAACGCGAAAGATACAGCACGGCGGAACGCAGAGCAACACGTGCAAGGAATCGACGGTGGCTAGACAGTGGCAGCAGAGGGGTGAACGATCGACCTGAGAGTAGCAGCGTGTGAGGGAGCGGCGACGCGGGTTTAGCGCAGCAGCAACGGGTGACAACTTCGGGTTGAAGCTGGGTGGTATCGGCAGGAACAGTGCAGTTGTTTTACTGCACGCAATCTCGAAGCACGCTGACGACAGCAGAGCGGATTCGAATCACGCTGACGATAGCAGAGTGGATTCGAAGCACGCTGACGACAGCAGAAGGCATGCGAAGCACGCTGACGTCAGCAGCACGGATTCGAAGCACGCTGACAGCGCCAGAGCGGCAAGCGAAGGTGCGTGTGCGCGCAGGGCAAGAGGGGTGGGCGCGTAGGACGTAGGAGTCCGCCGCGTAGGTGTCTTGCGTCGTCGTCAGCTGCTCCTGCTTCCTGTCGTCCTTGTTTTCGTGCTGCTCTCACGCATCTTGCTCTCTCCTGCCATCTCTGCTCGTGTGCGCTTTGTGTGTGGAGGGAGGGAGGAGGGATGGAGCACGGGAGGTGTAGTAGCAGCGCCTTATCAGAGCAGGAGCAGCAGGAGCAAGAGCGGGCGAACCAGCAGCGCGAGAGACAGACATCATAGCGGCATGTAAAGGTGCGTACACGCAAAGGGCAAGTGGGGGGGCGAAACAGTCTAGGTCGCCGCGCGGCAAGTCTTGGAATCAGATTTCGTTTCCTTGGAGTCCGTTTCCTCTCATGCTTCTGACACACTTTCTTGTGTGCTTGTTCCTGTGCTGTGTTGGCTGCTGTGGTTGGGTTGGGCCCCCTTGGTGACTGAGAGGCTCACGGACGCGTCAACAGCCCTGCCAAGGCGTGGCGGTGCGTCGCATCCCAGGGAGGGGCTCTGCCAGTAACCATCCGACAGCTGAGGCGTTTCGGAATCATCTGCCTCACCATGGCAGCACGGTGAGCAAATTGGCCGAATCGATCGGGGGGGAGCTTAGCTGTCTAGGTCGCCGTGCGGCAAGTCTTAGAATCAGTTTTTTCCTTCTTCGAGTTCGGTTCGTATCGTGATTCTGATACACTCTCTTGTGCGCTTGTTCCTGTGCTGTGTTCGCTGCTGTGGTTGGGAGGCCCAAGGACGCGTCAACAGTCCTGACAAGGCGTGGCGGAGAGGGGTTCTGCCAGTAACCAATCGACTGCTGAGGCGTTTCAAAATCTGCCTCATTATGGCAGCACGGTGAGTAAATTGGCCGAGTCGATCGGGGGGGAGCATAGCTGTCTAGGTCGCCGTGCGGCAAGTCTCAAACCTGAGTTCTGTTTTTTCCGAGTCATATTCTACTGCTGTTTCTGACGCACACTCTCCTGTGTGCTCGTGTCTCTGCTGTGTTCTTTGCCGCGCCTTGGTAATTGAGAGGCATCGACATGCACACAGGCTTGCCTATGGGTGGTGCGTCGTAAGGAGGTGCTGTGCGAGGAGTGATCCGCCTTCTGAGCCGTCTCAGAATCGGATCTGCCTCACCATGGCAGCACGGTAAGTGATTGGGCGGATCTTTGGGGGGCAGAGCAGTCTAGGTCGCCGCGCGGCAAGTCTTATGAAAGATTCCTGTGTCCCAGTCCGTTTTTTCTGCTTCTTCTGACGCAATTTCGTCTGTGCTTGTTGGTTGCTCTGGTTCGAGAGTTCTGTGTGTGGGATGGGCCAGGAGAGGAGCTAATAACGGCCAGGCGACG